CGATGCCTAACACAAACAGCAATATTAGCATGGTTAGTATACCTAGCGATCAACGAACTGGCAAGATGTTAGTGTGTATCATCTGCCTTATTCTTTAATTACAAGTTGTCGTCATAATAATAATAACTCACAAGAAAACATATCATATATGCCATTGTTTAATGCAATTTATTAACAGGAAGTTCAAAGGGCAATGGAAGGTATTTTACGTGATGCGTCTCGTCCGATTAAATTTCTCAATAAGAGTTGGTACAGCACTAAAAGCCTCCCTGAAATGCGTGACAACATAAAAAGAGTTGATATCAGTGTGAGTTCAAGCATTAACAATAAACATGATTTCTTGGAATAAATTATGATGTTTCACACAGACTAAGAAGAAAACAAATTAGGCGCATAAAGTATAGTACCAAAATTTGTGACTCTTAATGGTGATAGAAGAAACAATATGACTGTCATGTTATTGGTATTCATATTTTCTCCAGTCAATGTCACTTGTTTTTGCACTGGATTCAATAAATTAGGGTACTGGGTTTTCAATCTGAATATTTGGTTTACAACATACAAAGTGACTGTTACTGTGCATTTCTTATGATCTCATTAGCTCAAATTAAGATGTTATTAATAATATCTTATTCAATTAATTGTTTATTTGTCTCTGTAAAGACTGAAATCACTGAAATTTGTATATTTAAGTATGGTGGTAATATGGGAAGGTTGTTTCATTACTACACAAGTGCATACACACACAACATGACGATGTGTTCGTATGTTGACATCATATGTCATATAAGCACCTGTTGCGGAATGTAAAAAACATACAAAAAGTGTTGCTTCCTGTGCACATTGCAATTTTAAACATATAGCATGCACGAATCAACAAATAACTCACCAACATAAGTACCAACATACTTGGAACTAATTTTTTTAGTTTTGAATAGAAGCTTTATTAACATTTCAGTATGTAACAATTCAAATCTCTATTTATAGCTGTATAATTTGAATATGATTCAGACTTTTGAATAGTTACAATAAAAATATTCAACAATGCAATAATCATCAAAAAGGCTAAAACACAAAAGTAAAGTTTGAAATTATTGCTTTCTGAACACACATAATACATCATTAAATCCTCAATTGATCGCAAAGCATTTCAAGTGTAATTTCCTATACTCAAACTGAAAATATACTCAATTCAAAATGATGATGATGATTACATTGTTGTTTCGTTATTAGCTTGATGATGTTGATGGATTGAACATAATTCATGTAAGTGGTACCAAGGGTAAAGGTTCTGTGACTGCTTTTTGTGAAAGTATATTACGAGCAAATGGATTCAAAACAGGATTATACAGGTAAGTAACAATATTAACTGTCATTGGATTCATTACATGGTACAAAAATAATGATTAACAATGCATCAAAATCTGGTTTTGTTTATCAATTTAAAATCGTTAAAATGGCATTATCTATGTTGGAGTGTTTGACAGTAGATTATAGCAGTACTGTAATAACTATTATTATTTCTAGCTCACCACATTTGGTAGAATTTCGTGAGCGAATCCGTATCAATGGTTTAACACTGACAAGGGATGTTTTCAGTAAATATTTCTTTGATGTCTACAATAAATTAGAGTCAACAAAATGCGGGTATCCTGAAACTATACTGAATCAATTCAGATTTATGACACTAGTGGCATTGAATGTGTTCATACATGAAAAGGTGAGACCTTAAGAATTGTACTATATTGAACATAAAAGAAGAAACAAAGTATTATTCAACGTACCATAAATATTCTAGGCCAAACAAACAAAAAAACAAACGACCACGATTGACAAACAATACACAAAACAAAAACAACACTGCATGGTATATAAGAATTTAGGTGTTTCGAAATAAGTGACATTTATACGGAATTGTATCACAGTTAGATACACTTCGAGTCAGAGTAAGAGTGGTTGTTACCTGTGAGTTTTCCATTTAAGCCCGCAATTTGGGAGTGAAATCGGCAATACTGTTCAAATGCACCAATGTCTGAGTTTACGGAGATTATCTGCATAATTATTTGTTTTTCTTGTTAGTTATTATGACAGCTAGTAGATCATTGAATGTCACATGTATTTAAGATTTTAAGATTGAAAATTGGGTAAAAGGTTGCCCTAATCAAAATTTAAATCGATCATTTTTCCTGTGTGTTACCCATCGAACATATTTTCAAATAATGTACGCTTAATGACAGTCGCACTTGCCATGCAAAAAGTCATCCTGTGCTCAATTCATGTCAAAGTTTTTCCACGGTTTTGCATCTTGCGATCATTCCAGGATTCCATTACCAAGAGAGTGTGACAACATATAATGTACCATCACTAACATTCACACATTATATATGCACTTAATATTGATAATTGGTCTTTAAAATTTCACAATTGGTCAAATCCTTAAAATTCGGTGTTTGGCCCAATAAATACACTTTGTATTTCTTGAATACAGAAAATGATACATTTTGGAACCAATTCTCAGTCCTAAAATGCCTAAAATTAAAACTTACACAGGGCATCCACATGGGTGCCTGCTTCTAACAACAAAATGTAATCAAAACTTTATTTTCATTGTTTGACTGACAAACTTTTATCGTCTGACTATATACTATTCTGATAAAATACTCAATGATAGCAATTTGGCTCCAAAACACATAAAGACGTGACCCATTGAATGGAAATAAACAATCAGATTGATCTACAATTATCAAATAAACAAACATAAATTATTAGAAAATACCAGGCGCATTGCTGTGGCGCGAGTTTTAACCTTGTAGTATGCTATCAATAATCAGTTTATAAATATGTAAACTGTATTTGTGAATATATTTCTAGGTTGATGTTGTCATTCTTGAAGTGGGCGTTGGTGGCGCTTATGATTGCACCAACATTGTGCAAAGCCCGAGAGTGGTTGGCATCACTTTATTGGACTTGGATCATACAGATTTGTTAGGAGACACAATTGATAGCATATCATGGCACAAAGCTGGAATATGCAAGGTGAGAATTACATTTACAATCGGCAGACAATTTAATCACCAATGACAAATTTAAAAAAAATCACTGAAAATATTGCGGTTTTTAATGTTTGTAATATGAAACAATATATATATTATCATGCTTATAGCGAAAAAAATTGTCTACACATGTTTCTATGTCGATCTCAACATTTTTTGTTACTGTATATTAGCTTTATGAAACACCTCTATGATCATTAAAAAAATTAGTGAAGATAAAAAAAATGTTTTATTCAACAGCCTGGCCGACCAGCATTCACAATCCCACAAGTAAAGGAGGCCATAGATACAGTGAGACGTAGAGCCACTGAAATACACGTGAGTGTAAATATAACAATTAAAATACTCAGATAGAATTACAATGACAGATACTTGGCAGTATCATTAACTGAACTATACATTAATAAGTAGAATAAATCATTTAAAAAAAATTGTCGCATATTACAAATTATTATACATTTGTCACCGTAACGCCATAAATTACAGCACGCCGTAATTTTGCGGTATTGCACTTTTCATCCTTCCATATTAGGAAACGCGAATTCTAAATATGGAACGATTACCAGGGTATGACCGGATACCACACAAAGAAGTTCGCTAAATATTTTTTAAACGTTTTGGATTACGGCATTCTCATGATGTATTCCTGGGAAGTAAAGATGTATAATAATAAGGTTATTACGAGGATACTGCAAAGTATGCACGAAGACAGTACAGCGAATGTGACCGCGTACTGTCTGATTACTATTATTCACTATTGTCATTCAACAAGAAACTCCTGTTTACAGGCACCGATTCAGATTGTGCCCGACTTGGATGATTACGATTGGCAAGGGAAGCCAATGAAGCTTGGACTTGCTGTGAACATCAACGTATTAACGCATCTTTAGCAATACAGTTATGTAGGACATGGATAGAAGAACATAACCTACGTACGTACATATGTTGCACATGTTCACGTGATATGTACCCTTTGCTACAACATGACTTTGATGTTAAATAATTGATTCATAATGACACTTGTATGCTACTTTAAGTTTTCATTTTCAGCATTTGAATAATATCCTAGTAGTCACATTCTTTTGATTGATATTACTTAAACATCAATATTGCACGTCTCCTGTGCATTATATGTTAATAAAATTGAAATTGACATGAATGTGTTATTAAAATATGTTTTCTTTTATATCACATTTGAATCTATTTCATTTCGAGTGTTACTTACTTCTGTTTGTTTATTAATGTTTGTTTTACATCGAAATGATTATTTTGTAAGTGGAAAAGCATACAATATCTTAAACTGTTGATTGACGTATCAACTAACTTAGTGAGTTTCTCGAGCGCACTGAGTCTGCTAGTGATTTTCATCAGCTTCCGTTCAAAGTACAAAGCTCTTATACTCTTATATACAACTTATACGACCTTGATTATAGCTACATATAGCACACATGATCCAAGTGGTTAGGTAGTATTAAACATCATATATCGATGTTTATCAAATCGTAATCCTCCCGACCCGAGTATAACAACCCTTCTTACTATTACAATTCATAACCTATGACATATGATATGGCAGCCTTCATTAACCCAACTTAATTATCCATGTGAGAATGGTCTTTTCGTTATGACATTTCAAGATGGTTTTAAATAAATAAATAAATAAATAAATAAATAAATAAATAAATAAATAAATAAATAAAAAGGCTTTCTAGAAATGCTTTCATTGTCACACCTGACAAAGCATCCGCGGTAATGACCATTCTGAGAAACATTACTGTATGGCTATTTGGACGGCTACGTTTTACACTGCTACACATTAACAGTATACCTCTTAATCATAAACAGCAAGAAAGTGTTCATTCTTGCATGTTTGTGAATATATGAATTGCATTCACAGAATATTATATCAAAGCCTTACGTTTTCACGCTAAAAATGCTGATACATCTACCCTGCATGATACAATGGTTCGTCACAGGAATCGTGTTGAGAAAGTGTTGATATTCAATGTTACGCATGGTATGGATGCTAAATTATTATTGGAGCACCTGGTGCAATGTAACTTCACAGCAACTGCCTTTAGCCCAAATATCACTGATGTAGACGATTTAGTGGAAAGTAAGCAATCAGTAAAGTTTTCGCACAACATATAAACGTCACTAACATGGTTCACTGCTATCATTTGCACTGTAATATTTAATAATCTGCATTATTAATGTTTGTATTACCTACCAGTTAACTTCAGTTACATTAGTAGTAGTGACCACCAGATGGAAAGAAATGAATTATTTTCAACTGATGTACAAACACATGCGATTTGTATGTCTGGTATTTGTCTGCATACCATGGATTCACACGTTGACAAAGCTAGAATGCTCAAGATTCACTTATGACAGACTTTGTTGGCGCTAATAAGCGTACTTGTAATATATCGTGGAGAACTGGTACATTTGTTGATGTGCTGGTTCATTGTAACCAGCTGTTTCATACTGTTCGAGTAAATCCTACTTGTTTTGCAGTGTACAATTTTTTAGGGCATCATTTTTTCCTTCAATATCAATTAAAATGATGTATTGTCATCATTAAATGGTTGTAGATTATCAAGCGATAGAGAGGCAGCATATTTCTAAGTTATTTCTAAGTTTCACAAGATTCTGGGAATTCATAG